AACAATAGAAACTGACTCAGCAATGGCACTTAGGATAGAATTTATAGACAAAGACATTAAATTCTTATTTAAAATACACTCCATGTGCTCAAGAAGGTAGAGGAAAGCACAGGCATATTAAGAAGTAAATGGAAATATCAAAAAGWCCTAACTTAAACTTCTAAAAATCAAAAATATAACATCTAAGATGAAAATACACTGGATGGGCTTAATAGTGGAATTGATACTGCAAAAAAAACAACACATTACTATATGCTAAGATACACTATCCAAAATGAAACAAAAGAATGAAAAGATCAAAAATTGTTCACAGAGAATTAGTGACAGGCTGGCCAACTCCATGTTGCCTAACTCAGATGAAATAAAACTCCCAGAAGGAGGGGAAAATGTGTGGTCCAGAAATAGTGTTTGAATAAGCCAAAAATGTTCCTAATTTGGTGAACACTATAAATCCACAGATCCAAGAAACTTAATGAATTTCAAGCACAAGAAATATAAAGAAGATTGTACAAGGTACATCATAATTGGAATTCTTAAAAACATCTGAATGGGGGAAAGACATTAATATATTGAGGTACAAATATAGGAATAAATTGGGCTTCTCCACAAACTAGAAGACAGTGGAAGAACATTTTTAAACTATTGAAAGAAAAATTGTCCAACTAGAATTTTGTACCCAAAAGAAATATCTTTTTAAAATGAAGGTGAAACCAATGCTTTTTCAGAGAAACAAAAGCTGAAAGAATCCAGCACCAAAAATAAAGTGCTTTAAGAAATGCTGTAGCAAGTCTTTCAGAGAGAAGGAAAACAGTTCTGAGGGTAATCTGAATCTACACAGAGGAATGAAGAGCATTATAAATGGTAAATATGTGGGTAAGCAAGAATATTTACTTCCTTGTCCCCTAACTAGGATTACATGAACAATGATGAAGGAGGGATAAAAAGAATTGACTATAAAAGTAGGGCAAGAATAAAGTTAATGTGGATTTTCAATTATTTGAATCAATTGTTTTATATTGGCTATAATTAATATGGTTAAGTGCAGAGTTTTGTATTTTATTTATCTTCATGGTTTTTAAAATTCAGTGCTCATTTTTTATTTAGTTCAACATTTATTTCATCATAGAGTCAACCTCTATGGCATAGAATTTTTAATTTTCTGGGAAATGTATATTAAAAAATTTGTTTAACAAAACTCATATTAAATCAAATCTTTATTTGCAGTCTTCTACAAAGCCTTAGTAAGTGATAATTTTAAAAATAACTTCAGTTGAATACAACATGACATTTTTAGTAAGTCATTTCTTTATTTAATGATGTTTTTTAAAATGTATAATTTTTCAAATTTGAGAATTTTTGTCTAAAATAGAGAATAGCCATGTCCCTTAACTTTAATTATTGCTTTAAGGCTGAAATTTTTAGAATGTTAAATTTTCTCTACATGTTATATTACTGGACTACATGACAGCTGGACTAAATCACCAATATAATCAGGGAGCAGCTGTAAGAAATAGGAGCCATTCATTCTGGCTGGCTATGTCATGCAGAAAGAGATTAGTACAAGAAAGTATGTACTTATCAGATCCTTAAGAAACTAGAGATGTGGACTCTAAGCTTGGCCTATAGGTGTGACTTTTAGAATAAGGTCAATATACAGATGTATTAAGGGACCAGACACCTTTACTACAGGTGGAAAACCAGAACATCACTGCCAATCAACTGTTGAATTTAAGAACATATTGCTAGAAGTAAGATCAGGAATTTACCACAATAATTGTCTTTTGACATACTAAGTGGCCTCTTGACTGGGCTCTGAAAAGTTGCTTTCAAAACCAAATAAAGCCATCATTGCAATGTCCAAAGAAGCAGAAAAATGGCTTCCATCCCATTTTAAAAATTGTTTTCCAGACACTTTGAACCCTGAGACATTGTGGAAACAGGCCAACTACCCTGAGGCCACCATTCCCAAAACTTCTGAAGCATAAACCTCTTGAAGCTGCCTCCATTGACAGTTCCCACCATCTCAGCCTTTGCATGATTGTGGGCCAGGCATGTGAGAATACAAAGGAATCAAAGTCCCCATCCAGTGAAGCATTCTCAACTAATGCCCCCATGCCATCATGCAGATAAGACATCCACACTTACCTAATTAGTAAAAGTCCTGGCCCACAGAATCTGTGAGCACAATAAAATTATTATTGTTACACATCAACTTTGATGGTTTTGTTGTTGTTGTTCTGTTTTGTGTGTGTGTGTGTGTGTGTGTGTGTGTGTGTGTGTATGTGCACGCATGTGCACACAACAGGAAATAACCAAAACATAATAGCATTCATATTTTATGTGTTTTTATAAGCACTTCAAAATATTTTAAAAGACGATAATACTCACTATATCTCTGTATAGGATATATACAACAATTTATCTAAAGCCTTTTGTTTGATTGTAAAGGATAACTGGCTTCCAATTAGTCTTTAATCTAACACTGTAGTGAATATCTTTATCAATAGATATTTTAATTTTTATTTTGTATTTAGCATTATTTCTTTATCATAAATTTCCAGAATGACTGTATCTAAGCTATAACTAAATTTCTTTCTAAATGTTTGGGTTTTTTTGTTTTGTTTTGTTTTGTTTTTTGTTACCGGGATTGAACTCAGGGGCACTCAACCACCGAGCCCCATCCCCAGCCCTATTTTGTATTTTATTTAGAGACAGGGTCTCCCTGAGTTGCTTAATACCTCACTTTTGCTGAGGCTGGCTTTGAACTAACAATCCTCCTGCTTCATCCTCCAAAGCTTCTGGGATTATAGTCATGCTCCATTGTGCTTGATTTTCTAAATGTTTTATACCAATTCACATCTATCTTGAATATTTAGCAAGGTGATAGAAATATTAAAAATGAAAATTCATTTCTATATATTTAAACGTTTCAACTACTAAAAAGAGTCTTTTTAAGTTAATCAGCCCTATTGAAAACAAAACTTGGGTGTGCCTGTGTATGGTAATGTAAGCCAATCAAAAATGAGAAGCTGGGGGAAATTGGGCCACCACAGCAGATAGGGCAAAAAAAAAAAGAAAAAGTATATTGAGTAATATTAATTGATACTGCTCTGTTATGAGCTGAAATGAGACATATTTACATGAAACAACCACCAAAAGATGATAACATCTAGGCAGGTATGGCTTCGGTTTAGCAAGTCCAAAGAGTTCTGGCTAAGTGGATAAATTTCCCTGTTCTCAAGGCTCTGCCATACTTTTGTATGAAGAGGGCTGAAATTCATTCCACTTTCCTTTGAACAAACTGTGACCCCTAGAGCAGGGTCTCATGTCTGTGAAAAAGGAAATTTTTTTCAAAGAATATACCCAGGGTTGTGGCTAGTTCAGAAGGGGGCATGTTGTTGCCATTGCCCCTCTACAGTAGTTGCCATTTTCTAATTCATACGAAGTTGTTCATGCCAGCTGTTGACCTCAGTATTCTTCCTATTTATAAGTCTAGATTTAATAAAGAAGAGGAATCTCAGAGTTCTTGACTAAAGCTACACCATGGCTAACTCATCATGAAATATTTCTGCCTTTCCAGAGATATTATGTCAAAATGGGGAGTGATTGGTTCTAAAAGGCTTGGATCTCAGTGTATATTACATCTGCTTCCCAAACCCTACTAAATATGTCTTCAAAATTGTTATCCATTGCCAAATACTTAGCTAACCCTGTGCTCCAGTTTTTAAGCATACAGATATTAACTGAGAAAAATATAGATTAGAATTCTGCCTACCTAATTGCCATGTAGGTAATAGGAGAAAATTTTCTGAATCCTTTTTTCTGATCTTTGATTTCCTTATCTGTATTATTAGAATGATAATAATAAAAGCACCTCTATTGCAGCATTTTTGTGAAGATTAAATGAGATAGTATTATAACGTTCCCACTATTTAAATATTTGATACATATTAACTCTCATTTAAAAAAACACATGCCAACATATTAAAATTCCTTTATCGCCCTTGACTAGCTATAAGTACATACCAAATACTAGATCCATGTGTCCACTGTAGTATTAAGCATTCTTCTGCACGTAACTAACATCCTTTGAATGACCAAAGAAGCACATTTCAAAATGTGTTCTGCATATTGCAAGATTATAAGGTAATGTTTGAAACACAATTTGTTATCTTTAAGAAACATAAGAAAATATATTTTTAGTTGATTGAACCCAGGGCATGCTAGAACCCCTAGCATGACTATAACCCCACCCTCAAGGGTTTTTTTTTCTTTTTGTTTTGTTCTTTTTTCAGTTATGTCAAAACAAAGAGTAACTCACAAGGCCTAAATAAACAGTAATCATTTGGACATGAGCAGTTTTATACTCTGGGACAAGAGTAATAATATTTTTTCAGTGTGCACTGTATGCCAGCATGTATTTGGGCATGTGACATGTACAATTGTGTATATGTACATATACACAAATCACAAAACTCCATGGGGCAGATAATAATATTTCAGATTTACAGATGAAGAAACTAAAGCATGGAGAATTTTAGTAATTTATACAGCTAATAAGATGCAGAACTAGAATTTATGCCCAGACAGCCTGGCTCCCAATATTCTTAATTGCCATTCTCAGCTACAAAATGTTCCTGTTCTAAAAAACTTTAAACTCTAGGTACTGAAAGTACTTCCAAGACTTACATAAATTAGAGTATATTTAATTTATGTAACAAAAGTCCAAGATTATAACTTATTTCATATTGCCATTAAATAATAAAGGACATAGTGGAGACGTAGAATAAATTTTAAACTATGTTAGTCAAATTATAAAAATACTCCTTAAATATATTTTAATTTTTTGCTAATTAAAAATAGCAAGGATTGAGCCATATTTATATGGTTCAGAACAGAAGGGATTCTAACTCCTTTTCATTTGTTAATCTACATCTTTCAGTTCCTTTATGTGAAGATTTAATTATGATATTTACACTGCCTTCTTCCTCTTGGTACAGACCATGTAAATGGACATTGCACAAGTCCAACTTCTCAGAGTTGCAGTTCTGGAAAACGTCTTTCTAGTGCTGATGTTTCAAAAATAAATCGGTGGGGTCCTGCAAGACCTCCATTTCGAAAGGCTCAGTCAGCTGCTTGCATGGAGATTTCTTTACCGGTTACAACAGAAGGTAGGCTAAACATAGCAATTTTGTTGGTTACAGATAAAATTTGGTTTACAATGGAAACAAGTGTTGTGAACAAGGAATGGAAATCACATTGAAAAGATACAAATATCTACTAGACAATGAGTCACTGAGAGCCTGGTGGGGCTGCAACTAACTCCAAATCCATTTATTACCTCACTTCCTTAGTCATCTCTAAAACGAGAATGATTCCACTATAGACAGACTCCACCCACTCTATAAAACAGAAAACCTATGCCTTAATCTATTGTCTATCCTTCCAATAAAAATTAGCATCTCTATCTGTAGATAGTTATTTAGCGTCTTACAAGCTTAATTTCCTCAACTGTCAAATGAAGGTGATCAAGAAAAAATATTTTATTCTCAAGCTTAGAACTTCATATATTTTAAAAAGGAAGGTCTGTTTGCTTTTTTATGGAATGAGTATGGGGCCATGGAATAAAGTACCAGAACCAAAGACTGGAGCTGTTAAGAAAGGAAAAGAAAGGGGAATCTTTTAACTTTGCTGCTGCTCTCCTGTTAATAAGAAATTTTAGGAAGAGAGAAAGGAAAAATCATTTTAGGAAGATTTGCTATTCTAAGAATAATTCCTTATTTAATATCTCTTAAGATTTTTTTAACATTTTTTTATTTTTTGGAAGTGATTGGAAACAATACCTTTATTTATTTATTTTTATGTGGTGCTGAGGATCAAACCCAGGGCCTCAAATGTGCTAGATGAGTGTTCTACCACTGAGCCACAATCCCAGCCCCTCTTAAGATTTTTGATAATCTATATTCTTCAAAATATTTAAAGTAAAACTTATTGTTCAATTTTTGTTTCTTTAACATTATGCTGTATTAAATCTGGCCCTGTGAACGTGCAGATAATAGTGTCCTCTCTCACAGGTGTCTGTGAACTTTCAAATGGTGACAAACCACCAGTTAAAAGTTTGGGAGAAATATAATAGCTGGAAGGTTAAACTAGAAGCAACACGTAAGGATTATAAAAGAAATAATACTCTTTTAATCACTTTACTAGTGCTGCCAATTTTGAGTTTTAGATATTTGTGCCTCTAATTTGTGCTGGATTCTGGAGAAATTACTGAACTCTAAGTCTCTGTCTTCAAATCTATAAAATAAATAGATTATCTACCTCTAATATCTAAGTTTTATGAAAAACTTATAAATTTGCTGAGACATAGAAAGGGAAAATTAAGAATACTATATATTTTTTCATAGAAAAATATTCTGAGGAGTCTATATTTAGTCTCTTTTACAAAAATAATTAGGAGGCACATTTGGACCTATCAAGAGGGAAAAGAGTGAAGACAGTAAAAAGAAAAATAAGAGGAGCTTATACTCTGGAGCAGTAAAAGAACAGTACAACACTATTAACATGTAATTAAAATGGGTGAGTTTATGCTTGTTGGAGTGTGTACATGAGCAAGTGTTGATAAGCAAGAGGATCTGAGGCCATTCTCTTTCCTTTAAGTGGACTAAAGCCCTCTCAGAAAGATCACCACCACTGACAGGATGGCATAGTCTATAGCTCCTTTGGTCCTAGGCAAAATTAGAACTAGATTTGATTCAAACAAATTCAGAAAAATACTATTTGCATTTAAAAGCCTTGGTAAAATTTTAATTTTTCCACTCATAATTTCCCCAGATCATCCAATGTATTTGTCACAGAATATTTCAAATTGTTCCTCTTATGTCAGTAGCCATAATATTGTCAGTACATGGGAACTGCAATAAATCATTAGGAATACTTTGAACAATTGAGAGATAGGAAGGAAGTGCAATTAAAATTGTATCCGAAATTCTTATAAGCTTGACTATTTAAGTCTGCTTTCCAGCTTCAGTCTCTCCATCTTCAACATTAGCTGGTGAGCTGGATAAACTACCTTCCAAGTCAATTAATGAAGAATTAAATTCTTTCCTTTCACACTTTTTGGTTTTCATGTATTTGACTTTACTTGTTTTGTAAATACACTGATACTTCATTTTAGTCTTTTTAAATTTCCATAGAAAACCGAGAGAATTCATATAATCGTTCCAGAAGCTCTAGTATCTCCAGTATTGACAAAGATTCTAAAGAAGCAATTACAGCTTTATACTTCATGGAATCCTTTGCACGGAAAAATGACTCTACTGTCTCTCCTTGTCTGTTTGTTGGAACCAGTCTGGGAATGGTATTAATCATCTCCCTAAACCTACCATCAGCAGATGAACAGAGGTTTACAGAGCCGGTTGTGGTATTGTCAAGTGGTAAGAGTTTTTATTCATTCATTCCCTTGTGGCTACTTTTTCAAATTTAGATATAAAGTATCAATAATTTGCATTGATTTAGGACAAAGGTTATGTATTTAAATCTTTTGTGTAATAGGAACTATTGAGAACTTCATAAAATCATATAGTGTTCCAACATTGTCATATTGTAACTTACCTATTTTTCAGGGTAAAAGAGTTATCACCATTGCTGCAGTAGTAAATTGTGAAACTGCCAACCTAATCAACACTTTGGGAAATAAGTTTCTGAAAAGCACTGAGGAAAACCTTAGCACAAATGTTGTTTTCTAAGTCACAAGGATAGAAATAAACAATCCCCAGAACTAATATAACAGATCTCTCAATTTTGTAGGGAAGTTTTTTGCCATTTGTAGCAAACAAACTCAGACCAAAAGTGATTTTAAAAATTAAAGATTTAAATTTTAGCATTTAATTTGTAAAATATTTATCATTTTTCCCTTATCAACTTAATGAGAAGCTGTCTTTTCTTTAAGTTTCAATGCTAGTTTTTATTCTTTCAAAATTTTAGTTAATAATAATGTGTCAATATCAGTCCATCAAGTATAGTAGATACATTACACAAATACAAAATATAAAATAGGGAAATGAAAAAAGAGATATATGGGATCTGTATGTACTATCTGCTCAATTTTTTGTAAAACTAAAACTGCTCTTAAAAATAAAGTCTATTCATTATAAAGGAGAAAGCTATGAGGCTGGGTTCAAATTTATTCTATAATCTACCATTGAAAGAGAGAAAGTCATAATTCATAGTAGTAAACATAAAAAATGAAAGTGGAGTTTCATAAGAAGAAATAGAGGTGATGAAAGCCATTCCAATTTTAAAGTAAAATTTTATCCTTCACCATTCCCTTACTGACCTGTAATAGTTGTTCCAGGATTCACCCTCTCTGAAATATCTATTTTTCATCCAGTACTCACTGGCCAAGCTTTTGGGTACTGTCCATGGTTGTTTTTTGCCTCTGATTAAAGGATCTGACAACTGTAAAGGAGGAAAAGTTTATTTGAGGCCTCACAGTTTCAGAGGTCTTAGTCCACAGAAGGCTGGCTCCATTCCTTGGGGCTCGACTTGAGGCAGAACATCATGGTGGAAAAGTATGGCAGAGAGAAGCAGCTCACATGGTGATCAGAAAGCAGAGAGATCTCCACTTGCCAGATACAAATATATACTCCAAAGCTATGCCCCTGGTTCCCACCTCCTCCTGCTGCATCCTACCACTTCAGTTACCACTCATTTAATCCCTACCAGGGGATTAAGTCACTGATTGGGTTAAGACTCACAATCCAATCATTTCTCCTCTGAACCTTCTTGCATTGTCTTACACATGATCTTTTCGGGGACACCTCACATCCAAACCATAACAATGGTATTATTCATAGGTATAATGTTGCACATCATATCTCTAGAACTTGTCTCTTATACCTGAAATTTTATGCTAGTTTATTAGCAAGTCCCCATTTTCCCTTCTCCAAGCCCCTGGCAATCACCATTCTATTCTTTGTTTCTATGGATTTGACAATTTTAAATGTCTCCATTTATGGAATCATGCAGTATTTGTCCTTCTGTGACTAGCTTATTTCACTTAATATAAATCCTCAAGATTCATCCATATTGTTGAATAATATAGGATTTCCTTCTTTTTTAAGGCTGAATAATATTACATTGTATGTATCTATTCCTTTTTTATCCTTTCATCTCTTGGACATTTAGGTTGTTTTCACAACTTCACTATTGTGAATAGTACTACAGTGAACATAGGAGTACCCATCTCCTCAAGATCCTGATCCTGGGATACATACCCAGAAGCMGTATTGCTAGATTACATGTTAATTCTGTTTGTAAATTTTCCATTTTTAATTTTACATGTTAATTCTATTTTTTTGAAGAACTTTCACACTCTTTTTCATAGCAATCTCACCATTTTGCATTCCTACTATCAGTGTAGAGGGTTCCAGTTTCTCCACACTTCACCAACATTGTTGTCTTTTGATTTTGATTTTAAATAATAACTGTCATAACAGATGTGATGTTTTATCTCATCATGGTTATGATTTGTGTTTATTTCCTTGATGATCAGTGATGTTGAGCATCTTTGCATATACCTGTTGTCCAATTGTTCATCTTTTTTTAATAAAGTCCTTTTTTATTTATTTTTATGTGGTGCTGAGGATCAGACCCAGGGCCTCACACGTGCTAGGCAAGTGCACTACCACTCGGCTATAGCCCAGCCCCTAACTTTTCTTTTGAAAAATGTTTACCCAAATCCTTAGCCCAATTTTTTAACAAAACAAGGTGCTGGTTGAGAAGACAAAACTGATAAACCTTTAGCTATACCAACTAATAAAAAAGGACATTTAATAAAATCAGAAATGAAGAGGAAAACATTATATAACTGATTCCATATAAACAAAAAGAATCTTGAGAGAGGACTAACAAACCGGATGACCTAAAAGAAACAGATACTTTTCTAGAAACATTTAACCTATGATGACTGAATCATGAAGAAATAAAGTCTGAATTAGACCCATAACTAGTAAGGAATTGGAATCAGTAATCAAACACCTCCCAAGAAAGGAAAACCCTTCTTTCTTTCTCTCTCTCTCTCTCTCTCTCTCTCTCTCTCTCTCTCTCTCTCTCTCTCTCTCTCTCTCTTTCTCTATCACTTGGAGGGTTTGTTAACAAAACACATTAGTAGTGGACCCTACCCAAGAGTTTCTGATTCAATAGGGTCTAGGGTGGAGCCTGAGAATTTGCATTTTTAACAAGCTCCCAGGTGATGCTGATCCTACAAATGAAACCTTACTTGACTCTTTTGTCTACTAATCTATTACACTTATTACCGGTAACGCAGAGCTCCGGACAGGATAAATAACATATCTATATCTCCATGACCTCCCTATTCTCTCCTGTTACTATTAGTAAACTCTATGCTTCTAACTAGACAGAATTCTCCAGTTGTGCACTAGATTATACTCCTTTTCTCCTATTCAACAATGTCAACCCAGAAATTTTTCCTCTATTTCCTTTTTAATAAATGTGTCTTTTTCTACTGAATTAGCATACAAATATACCATTATTCCTCCCGCTAAAAAAGAAAAACCTCTGTTGAATCTATTCTATTTCACTTCTTTTTTAATGCAAATTTCATTTTTGAAATGTTTGTAGTATATTCACTGTTTCTAATTTCATTTTCCCAATCTATTTTGAGCTCATTTTGATCATACTTTCTCCCATACTCAACAAAACTACCTTCATATAGGTGATCACTGACTTAATAAGTAAATCCAACGGTAAATTCTCAGGCCACATCTTACTTGACATATCTGCAATCTATTATATAAATTACCAATTCTCTCTACCTTATAACACTCATTTAGATTAAAGACCTTTATATATATATATATTTTTTTTTTTTCTTACTGTGGTCCTAACTGTTCCTTCTCAGTCTTCTTTATTGATTCTTTCAATTCATTGCACTGGATTTAAAACAACATAATGCCCCAAGACTGACTCCTTTAACTTTTTCTCTTTTCTCTTTACATTGAAGCCCTAGAAGAAATTATCCAACCTCATGATTTTAAATGCATTTATAATCTGATGTATCATATGTTTTTGTTTGTATTTATATTTATAGTTTGGACCTGTTCCCAAATTCCTGACACAGGAATCTAGATATTTGACATCCTCTTGGTTATCTAATAAACACCTCAAACTTAACATGTCCAAAACTGAGCTTCTGATAGTTCTCTTTTTTTTCCACAGTATTCCTATATATCCATTGTCAGCTGTTCTTCAAGTTGCTCAGATCAAAAACATCAGAATCATCCTTAATCTCTGTTTCTTTCCTATCTTAAATACAATTTATTAGCAAACCCTACTGGCATAACTTTCACAATGTAYTCAGATCCTGACATTTCTCACTATATCTACTGTTACATCTGGTTCAAGAGGGCTATATTTATTTTCCACCTGGATCATTATGTTAATCTCTTCACTGCTCTCCTTTTTTCCAACTTTGACACCCTTTAGAATATGCCCATCAGAAAGAATGATCCTGTTAAATGAAATTTAAGTTATATCACTCCAAGTAAAAGTCTAAGTCTTTAGCATATCCTACAAGAACCTGCATAATCTGGCACCACGCTGTCTCTCTGATTGTATCTCCTATTAGGCTTCCCTTTGTCATTCTAGAGAATTCTGAGATTTTACTCTGTGTGCAAGTTAACAAAGGTAGGTTTCCAGTTTCACAGATGCTGATGTAAGGTATGCAACTCCTATGGCAGAGACAAAGGATAATTTATTACTCACAGAAATCAGAAAAGCAGTAATTTGAGCCGGGGTTTTTTTGAGCCCTAATTACCATGGGATGATGCAAAGAAACCTTCACATTAGTATCAGTCTGCTATAGGAAACAAATTAGAAACCAAAGCAGCAGTTTTGACAAGGGCAGCTCAATGAAAAAAAATGTCATTTTAATGCCATCAGTGTATAAGAATTGGGAATAAGTAAAATGTCTTCTAAAATATGGGTTTCTTGACTTTTTAACCTACTTTGTGCCATGCCTACATCAAGGATGCAAAGATATTCATATAGTTATATTGATGTAGTCATAAGGTTATATTAAGAAATGCATTACTAGAAGTTTCATCATGTGGACATCATAGAGTGTACTTACACAAACCTAATGTCATCAGTCAATCAGATGTGGCCTCTTGATGCAACCAACAGACTTARTAAACACAAATTATATGAGGCTGCTGTCACTATAACACAGCATATTGCTTTACAGTAAACATTTTTGACAGAGTAAATTGAAGCAATGACAAAGTAGAGTACTATAGTAAATACTTAAAGCCGTAACATTGTCATTTATTATCATTATCAAGTATTACATAATGTGCATAATTGTATTGCTACTCTCCTATGCAATTGGCAGCACAGTAGATCTACACCAGCATCACCTTAACCACATGAATAATATATTATGATGGCTGGAGCATACTAGGTGATAGGAATTTTATAGCTCCATTATACATATGGTCTTCATTGACTGAATTATACGCCATTATATGACCCATGACACTACTTAGAAAAATTTCTCTGTAGCAGATAGTTATGAAAAGGTAGTTTTGAAAATGTGGTTTTACAGAGTAGCATACATTTTGGCATCTTTTTATACAAGGGGTTTTGAGAGAGCTGTTATTTTATACCTTGACCCTATACTAAGCACCTAAACCCCACAACCCTATCCTCTCAGTTCTAGGATTTATACAGGTTATTTAGTTTTCAAGTGGATTTAAAAATACAGCTGAGATGTTAGATCATCTAATATTACTTTGAATTTTATAATTTTTAAGTTGTTTAAATTATAAGAAAAAGAACTTCCTAAATAGAATGTGTTTTCATCTACCACCTCTCTCTTTTTAAGTATCTGTCACACTATATATCATATACACACACACACACACACACACACACACACACACACATATACATATACATACATACATACATATATACTTGAAATATATCAGCCTGGGTTAACACCCTTACTCTACATAGTATGAAAGGACAAAATAAAAAAGGGCTAGTAGAATTCTGTTTAGAGGATAGTCCAGCCTAAGTTACCTCCTTAGTTCTATAGAATACAGTCTTCTGAGACCAGTAAAAATCACTAATAAGTAGTGATCTGGTGTGGATAATCAACTTTGAAGAATCCAGGTAAATGAACACTTTTTTCTGAATTCAGATGCATAGGCTTGCCTGAGAGCTGAAGGTAGTTATTTTTAAAGGTTTTTGTTATTCATACAATTAAAATTTCTAGCATGAACTCCAGATATTGAAATTTCATGAGTGTTCAATGTCAGGAAAAGAAAAAAGAAACATATATTAGTAAATGAACCTATAAAAATAAGAGAATCAGATGATATAATTATTTTTCTGTTGAAATTATTTCAATAAATGAAAGTTATGCATTTTTCAATTTGTCTTTTATAAAATGATTTTAAAGTAGATGATATAAAATAATGAAAAATCCTGAATTAGCAATCAAGAAATCAGAATTCTAGTCCGAGCTCAGTCACTAATTTGCTATGTGACCTGGCCCAACTGTCATCATCTTCTTGGATCTGTTTTCCCATTTAAATGAGAGAATTTGACAAGTTGATGTCTTAGGTTCTTTTTAGGCCTAATATTCTATGATTCTAAGTTAATGCAATGGATGAACTAAAAAATTTACTGATCTATGTATATTTGTGCAATACTATGATACTATAAACACAAATTATCATAATATAAATGTTCATTGCCCACAGATGAATAAAAGCTCTTTTAGAAAGAATTTATGTGCCAGTGATGTGAAATTGTTTTTATAGGTACATTCCTCTCATTGAAAGGAGCTGTACTAACATTTTCCTGTATGGACCGAACTGGCGGATTAATGCAACCTCCATATGAAGTTTGGAGAGATCCAAATACCATAGATGAAAATGAAAAAACTTGGAGAAGGAAATTGGTCATGAACTACTCCTCTTCATCCCAAGAAATAGGAGATCATCAGTATACAATAATTTGCTCAGAAAAACAAGCCAAAGTCTTCTCACTGCCTTCTCAGACTTGCCTTTATGTTCATAACATCACCGAGACATCTTTTATACTGCAAGCAAATGTGGTGGTCATGTGCAACAGTGCCTGCTTGGCATGCTTTTGTGCTAATGGGCATATCATGATAATGAGGTACTTGCCTTCTTTATAAATTATCTGGTAATTATAATAAAACCAGCAAGTATAATCCTAAAAAGTATATGATTAATGTGCAAGATGTTATCAAGAAGCAACCTGAGATCATGGTTTAATTATGTTTGTAAATATTTTGTTGTTTAACAATCTGATGAGAGTTTGGGGATTTGTGGTGTGTTCTGTTGGGATTTTTTCCTTAAAAAATGCTCAATGCTGTGAATTAAATATATATTTTTAACTGGCATCAAGAAATCTAAGGAAAGAATGATGTTCCACTCACTCATATAGTCATTCAACAAACGTTTACTGAGTATATTTAGCTTCCAAATGCTATGCTAGCACTGGAAATAAAAGATGAATAAGCTACAGGGAACAAAGCTGTTACTTTTACTATATAGTTCATAAAAGAATATTTTTTAATTTATTGGTTCTTTAGTTATACATGCCAGTAGAATCCATTTTGATATACTAATAAGAATATTAAACAGAGTTTCACCTGATCCTTATTGCTATTCTAGGACACATGAAAGTAAAGTATTATTTGCATACTTCATTTTACATGCTAATAAATTGAATTTGAGGTTGAAAGTCTAGGAAAAAATGAGGCAGCACTGAGAAATATAATAAAAATCATCATACACTTTAAAAAAATAAGTTGTAAGCTCATCAACAATATATTTCATCCTACTGTTAGTGAAATCAAATAAAATTTGTAAGACATTGAGATATTATAACTTTATGAATTCAGCAGGTAATAAGAACAGTTAAGAAGTCACTATTATTCTTTTTCATTCTCCCCTAGTTCAAAAGTCATTAAAATGGTTAAGCATTGTACTGGACCTATAAACAATATAGAAATTAGCAAAATATATTCCTAACCCTTAAGAAGCTTACCATCTAATTTGGAGATAAGACACATACACAAGAAATTATAATGCATAATTTGTGCACAAAGGCTCAAACTGATCAGAAGGCTAAGGCAGAAAGATCACAAATTCAGGTATAGCCTGGGCAACTTAGCCATACCCTGTCTCAAAATAAAAAATTAGTTTTTTAAAAAAGGGTAAGGTATTGGGCTGAGGATGCAGCTCAGTAGTAGAGGATCCCCGTGGGTTTAATCCCTGTGCCACAAAAATTGTAAAAAAAAAAAATATATATATATATATATAAATTCAACAGAGGAAATATGAAATTGAATTTTCTGTTGATAAAATCGGTCCCTGGAGTTCAAAGCCATAGAATAGTTAAGCATGAATTATAAAGGAAGAGTCATTGGGAGGAAAGTAACCTAGAGAGGTAGATGGGGGAAAATTGTTGAGGACTAATTGATATAAGAAATATGGTTTTAAAGCACATGATTAACCTCTATTCATTAGGAAATATCTGTGGAGGGGGAGCTTGTGATTGACTTTTGAATTGAAATGATAACTATATAAAAGGCATGGAGGGGAAACTGGGAGGGATTATGAAGGGAAACTTGCTGTGTGTAAAGCTGTTTAGTTATGAAAGGTAATGGAAGCTGTTAAATTTGGGTGTTAGAAGAGAACTTAAGGTTATTTTTTTTAATTTGGATATTAGTGATGCTGTTAGCAAATATGAAAGCTAGGCGCATTTGGAAAAGTTATGATAATGAGAAGTTTGAGAATGAATTGAAAATAAATATTTGAAATTTGAGGTATAGATGTCATCCAGCAGAAATTTATCAAGCAATATAGAGTCTGGACTTTTAGAAACATATTGGAAGTCTTCTGTGTGAATACATTAGTAGTTATGACAGTGACTGAGATAATCAAAAAAGGTAGTACAAAAAGTAATGAAGAACAGACTGAGCTGAGCTTAGGAACTTGGGGCTATCTCTACATTTTATACTATGAAAGAAAGAAGAGCATGCAGCAAAGGAGGTTGAGAATAAGTCATCAGAAAGAAAGGGAAAGGACCAGAATGGTTATAACTTCATGAAATAAAAAGGAGGGAATAATATCAAAATAAAGGAGGTGGGGTCAAAAGATAGCCAAATATAGCAAAGAGGTCAAGAAATTTAGGTACAAGAAAAACATTAAATCTTGCCACTACTTGGATATTAATGGCCTTTAAGAAAGCAAGTCTTAGGTACATGGTGGAGGTAATTTGAGGCAGGTATATAGATGAGAGATTGGTAAAGAATAACCTATGGACCAAATCTACCCCATCCCATATCTGATTTGTACAAACTACAAGTCACAGATARTGTTTACATTTTTAAATGGTCAAACACTTCATGATATATGAAAATTAAGTGAAATTCAGATACTTATAAATGCAGTTTTTGGGGAATACAGCCACACCCATCTGTTTGTATATTAGTCACGGCTATTTTTGCACTGCAGACTCTAAAACATTTACTATCTGGTCCTTTACCCCTATTATAGATTATTCTTTCAGAAAATTTTTCTTTTTTAAAATATTTTTTAGTTGTAGATGGTTACGATAGCTTTATCTTATTTATTTAATTTTTTTTATGGTGCTGGGGATCGAACCCAGTGTCTCATGCATGCTAGGAAAGCACTCTACCTCCAAGTTATAGCCCAGCCCCAAATTTTGTGTTTTAAAAAAGAGAGATGAAAGATGGGAAGGTAGTTCAAGGTTAAAACTAGACTTTGACAGTGCTATATTTTTATTATTTTTAAATTTGGGAGACATGAACAAATTTTGAGGTATGGGGAAGTATTTAGAGATAAAGACTTGGGAAAAATGATCATTTTGTGGTCAGTTCATTTTCTTGTATATTCTGATCATTTCTCTCTTTGTCTGATTTTTCCTTTTTTTCAAACTAGTTTTAAATATTTCCAATGAAGGTTATTTCAGTCTTGTTTGAAAATGACATTTAACTCAGTTTTGAAAAAAACTGTACATTTGTGTGTGTTTTGATGTTTATTTTCATGCGCGCGCACACACACACACACACACACACACACACACTCCCCTTCTCTAAGCTACCATTTAGTCACTCAAAAATTGTCTCACTTTAAATCTTAATTATGTCAGTCAGAATTTTAGCTTAATGATGATTATTTTAACCTGTTTCTGTAAAATTTTATTATTTCTAAGAAGTTATCCTATATATCTCCAAATTCTATTTAAATTAATATGTTCTATCATCTATATGAGGTGAGAGATTTCTTAATAAATGAAAAACAAGCTTTTAAACATCAGGAGTCATTAGGAAAACAATATTTCAGTCTCCCTCTGTAAAAGCTGCTTTATATGATAGTGGCTACTTTGATATTGTGTCATAATGAAAACTTGTCATAATGTTTTCCTGAGGATACTTAAAAATATTTGAAAAAGAAATAATTTTGACATTATTTTAGTAATATATAATGTATAGCTAAGAAATGATGATATGTACTCTGCTGGGTGGATTGAAGAACTGAATCCTACAAATTGATGTGTTCCTGGTCTTCTTTACTTTCCTATGCTGAGTATATACCCAGGATCTTTCCAGACCCTGTCAGAATGTAACTGTCCTGAGCCCAGTCTCCTCAAGTCCTAGTTTCTGATAGGTGGAGGCAGCTAATGATTGGTTGTTAAGGTCCAAATGTACCCAGAAAGAACGAATATGAGGGCTGAGGTTGTGGCTCAGTGGCAGAGCACTTGCCCCTCACATATGAGACACTGGGTTCCATCCTCACCACCACATAAAAATAAAACAAAATAACGATTTTTTTTAAAAAAAAAAGAATATGAAAGACTTATCTATATGAATTCTCAAACATAGCCACTTTTAAGAACCCCCTTTGGTTAATGGACTCTGATTTTTTATTAAAGTGCCTCTGAATAGAAGGCACTTTTCAGTTTTAAAGCTAATTGTTTTCTAATCCTTAGCAATTAACTTGCTCTTTCACTTTTCCTACCTAAAGTGATTGTACCTTTTCAAATTTTCTTTTCTTGACTCATTTATGTTGCACACCCTAGTCAATGTAGCCTATCAGAAAGGTCAGCAGAATCTCTCCCAACCCACCTATTAATTTGATTGAATTACAGATATCTGTTGATTTTGTTGAATTACATATATCTTAAGGGGTTTAGCTACCTGAAGGGTTATAACAGATTAATTACAATATCTTTTTTATAGATTTCAGATAATTTATTTTTACTAAGTCTTTGAAGTTCAGAGTGTAATTTATACTTTAAAACACATCTCAATTCAGAGGAGCCATGGATCAACTGCATAATATTCACATGTATTTAATTCGTGGCTAAAATATTGGGCAGTGCAGCTCTGGAATCTCAGGAAAACGCTTATTCCAATAACACAGATTTCAAGTGCCATTTTATAAAATAAAGTTTGAGGGTCAAAAGTCTAGTTACAAACTACCTTGATAAGGGAGATCAGTATCTTTTGAGGTGCTGGTCTTATGATCTGGGATCATTTAAAATTATTGAGCACACTTAGAATTAGTAGAATGATTTCAAAACTTGAGATTTAATTACAAGCCCCACTCCCACTTTTGACATTAGAGGTATGATTAAAAATCAGGTAAAAGTAGTTTTATTTTCTTCATGGCTCATAAAACTGGCTCTAACAACAGTATCCAAAAGGACATTCTGAGAACTATTTTAGCAAATTTATAGCTACAGCATTAGGATTAGGATGTAGCCGTGGAGTAAACTATATCAAATCTGTGGTATTCATTTGGATGTACAAATTCTGATCTATTATTGATACCTTATTCTCATTCCCTTACAGCCTTGGCTGGGTTTATTTATTAATTTTGCCTTCAGTGCAGATGCCCTAAGTTATAGGTAATTTCAGAGCGAATAAAGGAAGAGGAAACAAAGCCACTCCATTCCCAGGCACAGTGAATTGAACCTACTCTGTGTTAAAACTTCTTCAAAGTCAGGAGTTCTGCCTAAAAGAAAGATAGTAGACCAAGTMTGCAGTCAGATACATTCTAGCATTTCTGACAAAACCAAAGGCTACAATCATATGAAGAGAACCCATGGAATGCTGCAAAAATGTCCCAGAGATTGCTGGTCCCTTCAAGGGCATTGTTAAGCATCTGTGGATTAAAATAGAACTTTGCCCATGATTTATTTTGGGGGGGGGCAGGGGCACCGGGGATTATACCCAGGGGTGCTTCACCACTGAGCCATATCCTCAGCCCTTTTTTATATTTTATTTAGAGACAGGGTCTTGCTGAATTTCTATGTGCCTCACTAAATTACTGAGACTGGCTTTGAACTCATCATCCTCCTGCCTCAGCTTCCGGAGTTCCTGGAATTACAGGCATGCACCACCATGCCCAGCCCATTTTTTTTTTTTTTTATGAATTTGTGTGAAAGCCTATTAACACTGAGCCTTCAAGAGAATAAAATGAAATAACCATAAAATAATGTTTTTTAAATTACTGTTTTATGTTAGGAAATGCTTTTTTCAACTTGAATATGGAATGTAGATTTACTTTTTTCCTTTTAGCCTACCTAGTCTTCGCCCAATGTTGGATGTTAATTATTTGCCACTGACAGACATGAGGATAGCACGGACATTTTGTTTTACCAATGAAGGACAGGCTTTGTATCTTGTCTCTCCTACTGAAATTCAGCGGTTAACATACAGCCAGGAAATGTGTGATAATCTACAGGTAGGTCAGGTGCATTTATTTTTTTTTAAATGGAGAGGTTGTAAAATGAAAGGGATGTCTAAAAGCTAAAATATTATTGGGTTGCACAATAAATATGCCTTTCTTAGAACAAATCTTTAATATATATTCTTCTTTATGATCCTGCCAACTTCTGGTACAGTTCTAGGTATGCACAGAAATAATAAGAAAGAGAAAGAATATGAAGATCTTTCATTTTAACAGTTAAATATTTATATTTTATCGCTTGCATTTGCCTGTTGAGTGTCTCTGAAAAAATTATTTCCTTCTAGATGGGAAATATGTATGAACACATGAAAATTTGTATCCAGCTCAGGGAGTTCATAGGCTTTAAAAAAAAAAAAACTTAATCTTGATCAAGGGCCACAAAAATAACCATGCTGATTAGAATTGGATATTTGTCTTTGTACATGGTGGTAAGCACAGCCTAGAAACAGGAGAGATATAAAAGCTTATCTAATCTTGCATAAGAATGGTCACAGAATTTTAAGTGAATCTTCAAGATTTAACTGGCTCAATACCTTTACTTTACAAATTAGAAAATCAAAATCATTCATTATAATGTAATGCTGAATTATTTGTGCTATACTTGGATCCCCTTTTGTGTGACTTTGGGCATTTTATTTAACCTACCTGTAATGCTACCTTGGAGCATTATTACTAGAATTAGGTAAGAATTTATATAAAGCAATGAGCAAGCAGGTCATTGATGATGACCAATGAGCACAGTGCCTGGAATATATAAATCTTGTATTATGATCATTATATTGTTATTCAACAAATATTTAGGGAGTTTTTATTGTGTGTCTTGGACTTTGCAGGGTTCTAGAAATACAACAATAAGCACACAAATCCCTGTCTGCTAGGTAGAGAGATAAGTGAGCAAATATTCTATGGAAAATGCTATGTATATATCTACACCAGTACTAGGGAGACAAAAGAAGTGCATTTGGGTTGATGAGAAGAAATGAGGGCTGGGGTTATGGCTCAGTGGTAGAGCACTTGCCTAATATGTATGAGGCACTGGGTTTGATTCTCAGCACCACATACAAATAAATAAAATAGAGGTCCAACAACAACTAAAAAATATTTAAAAACAAAAAGAAAGAGAGAAAGGAGGGAGTAGTTAGAGAAAGATTGTGGGCACAACTGACCTCTGAAGGGTAAGTAGGAGTTGTTCAGCTAAATTGATGGCTAGGGATAAAAAAGGTAGATATCCTAAACAGTAGTGGTATAGGTATGAAATCCTCAGGATCCAGGAAACTGCCAAGAAAGTTCAGCATTGAGAAGTGAAGATTTGAGGGGTGGTGCTGGAGAATTAGTCAAGAAAAGCTCTGGGAGCACCTTGTAAGATCCATAAGGAACTGAGCATTTATCCTAAGAGGTACAGGAAGTCATTTAAAAAACTTGAGCAGATTTGGTTGATAGTATGGCAATTAGTTTTGAGGAAGCAAAACTGAAGCTGTGGAGAATAATTAGGAGTCTCTTTACAGTAAAGTTCAAGAATTGCATTGACCCAAAATAAAGGAACCAGAAGTTATGATGAAGAAAAGTTAGCAGATTCAAGAGCTATAAAGTGTAATCCATTGGCTTTGAAGGTTATTAGTCATAGGAAGAGGAAAAGCAAGGAATTTTTCTGCCTTGGGAAACTTATTAGAGGGTGCTACTCTCTCCAAAGAGTAGGACTTCTAGGAAGAAAAACACAGGGCTGGTGAGGAGAGATGATGGAAGTTAGTCAAACTGGAAGTTCATTGACAAACCTATGCCTCCTGGTCTTGGTTTCTTCCTCCGTACTGATGGTTCTTAAATGTTGTGCTGCTTTAAAAAGACTTGAAAAGCAAGATAACCAGAGCAAATCTAGGTCAATTCTGATTTAGTAATTTTAGATGATTTGCATTGATATTTTCCCAGTCATTCTAAGACTCATCAAATACTGAGAATGACCTTGCCATACCTATTTTGAATTATTTCAATGATTTTTAACTATGGCATAATTTTGTATAATATAAAAATAGATCTAGCCTTCACTGAAGCCTTCTTATTTCTAAGGGAAGTCCATTCATGGTTCAGGGAAAGGAACCAGGATAGGAAAGAGGCTGTGGTAATTTTAAAAGCCTCAAATATCTAAATTGGTAATCACTGATCATACATGGAAATTAATCTGAGTGAATATATTGATTTTCCATGCTAGATATCAATAGGAGAAAAAATAGAAAAAGGAAAATTTTAGAAAATCAGTTACTGTAGAAATGAAGGAAAGAAAATGGAGAAAGAAATACTAAGGTAAGAACTGTGAGCAAAGCAAAAATCAGCAGGAAAAGCAGACTGTCTTTCATGATATACTCTTTTACCACAGTGTTACCTTTTTATCTGTTAATTCATTCTTAGTTTTATAATGCTTTTTTTCCTTTGAATTTGGTACAGGACATGCTAGGAGATTTGTTTACTCCTATAGAGACACCAGAAGCTCAGAATAGAGGCTTTCTTAAGGGACTGTTCGGTGGAAGTGGACAAACATTTGACAGAGAAGAGCTCTGTGAGTAAATTCCTAATTACAGAAATAATCTTAGAATGGAAGACATGATATTGTGTATGTATAGTTTAATATGGGATCTCAAATTCTAGGTTACGTACTTTTTCTTCTATTATTTTGTGAGTGTACATTATAATTTCACACAGCAGTGGGATTTGTGTAACAGTCACACATGCATATGACATAGTTTGTTCAGTTTCATTTCCCAGTACATTCCCTATTACTTCCTTTCTGTCTTTTTTTAAAAAAAAAAGAATATGAAAGACTTATCTATATGAATTCTCAAACATAGCCACTTTTTTCTGATCCCCATCGTCTACCCTTACTGGTCTTCCTTCTTTTTTTTTAAATTTGTGAATTATAATTATACATAAAAGTGGGATTCACTGTTTTATATTTCTATATGAACATAGCAGTAATTTGGTTGATTTCAATAGTGGTCCATCCCCCCCTGCCCTCCCCTATTCCTCCCTCTCCATCCCCTTACTGTACTCTATTGGTCTCATTTCTATTTTCACAACATCCCTTTTTTATTCCCTTTTCCTCTCTAGTTTGCACATATAAGAAAAAGCATTCAAAACTTGACTGAGTCTAGCTTATTTCACTTGGCATGATGTTCTCTAGTTCCATCTATTTATAAGCAAATGACATAATTTCGTTCTTCTTTATATGGCTAAGTAAAACTCCACTGTGTATATATATATACCATGTTTTCTATGTCCATTCATCTATTGATGGATAGCTGGGCTGGTTCCACAACTTGAATATTGTGAATTGCACTGCTAGAAATATTGGTATGCATATACCACTCTAGTATGCTCATTTTAGTTCTTTTGTATAAAAAACAAGGAATGGAATACTGGGTCATATGGTGGTTCCATTCCTAGTCTTTTGAGGAATCTCCATTCTGATTTTCACTGTAGTTGTACTAATTTATAGTCCCATCAATAGTATATACCTTTTTTTCAATATCCTTGCCATCTTACTTATGTCTTAAAAGTTTGAATATTTGTTTCCTTCTGTACCATGAAAATTATTTATGTTTTCTAAACATGAATAAAATTAGCCACTTTATATTAGAAAATAGTTTAGTAAAAATGATATGTATAATTCAAATAAATAACAAGCCAGCTAATAAATGTCTCACTTTTGTAGGTAGAGCATATTTGCATGACAAGGTAAAGACATTCAGTTATTAAAGTTGGAAAAACAAAGTTTAATCTGCTTGCCTATAATCACTACTGGGAAACAGATTTTTTAAATTCATAATGCAAGGTCTATTAATGTCACAGAATAAACTATTTTAAAATTTTATCAGGCAAACTGATGAACAGTAATAAAAAATCAATAGGAAGATACTAGAGAACATTTTTATAGACAAGATGAGAATATATTTACCAGAATATGCCATTTGGTTCCACATATTAAAGTTCTCTTGAACTTTTAACTATGCAAAAAGATCTAGGTGCTATCATACAGTAGAATATTGTTTGGCCACAAAAAAAGAATGAAATATTAATACATGATACAACATGTATAACATGTTCTAACTTTAGGAAAAAATCATGCTAAATCCAAGAAAACCAAAAAGGTCACATATTGTATGATTGATTGATTCATTGATTGTTGAAGAGCTGGGAATCAAACCTGGGGCCTTGTACATGTTAAGCAAGTGCACTACCACTGAGCTACTATGATACCATTTATATGAAATGTACAGAATAGGCAAATTCATAGAGACTGAAAATAGATCAGTGGTTGCCTGGGCAGCGATAGAATAAACAGTGACTACTAGTGGGTTCAAGGTTTCTTTGTGGCATAATAAAAAAATTCTAAAATCAGATAGTTTTGATAGTCAAAAAACTTTGTGAATACACTAAAAACCACTGAATTGTATGCTTTTTGTTGAAAAGGAAAATTCTATTATATGTGAATTATATCTCAAAAGCCTCTTGTTTTTAAAATTTTAGATTCTATTCCAATATTATATCATTAGAAATGTTCACTAAATTTCTGCCAAGACAGCTGATTTTAATAAAAACTTTTTTGTCTCTTTAGAATAGAATGAAACTAAACTCTGTAGTTGACTGGGAAATTTTTACTTGTTTATGAAGTCACAAAATTTCAACATATGTAAATTGATATCCATCACTTATAGCCCATTCTCTAGAGGGATAAAGAGGGGAAGAGAGAGAACCTGAGGCCTACAAGCTGATACATCAGGATGAACAGAGAAGGTTGGAATAAGGACTTGGGCAAAAATGTAAGCAAATTATCAGGCTCAGACAGGAACAGATATTAGTATGGGCTAAATGTTAAGTCTCATGTTTTCAGAATTTCAATTCAACCATGCCAAGAAATGCAGTTGTGCCATACTGTATGAAACACCACATGTACACATAAACACACACACACACACACACACACACACACACGTGTACACGTAGAGACATATAGTAATGATATTTCCCTGTCTCTCTCTTTCTTATCACTCCTCCAATGAAAATTACGACAGCAGAACTTAAGCATTTTGTTTTGGCGACAACCTTGACTATTTGAATTACTGACAGAATTTTTTATTGCTATGTCTTGAATTTCCAGTTGGGGAAGCTACAGCAGGAAAAGCATCTCGCAGCCTTGCACAGCACATTCCTGGACCAGGTGGTATAGAAGGGATGAAAGGCGCTGCTGGAGGTGTCATGGGAGAGCTGACCCGCGCCCGGATTGCACTTGATGAGAGAGGACAGAGACTAGGCGAGCTGGAAGAGAAGACTGCAGGCATGATGACCAGCGCAGAAGCATTTTCCAAACATGCACACGAGGTAAGCTGATTAAATACATAAATGTTTAAAGTTACCACCAGTGAGGAGACCTGTAAGTCCTGTTCAAGAAAGCTTAAACGAGATGCCACATGAGTAATCCTATAACCAAGTATTATGATTTCCCCCACTTTGGGGAAATACTTTTTTAAATACTATAAAATATATTAATAAATACTTATTTACCTCAAGGGATAATCAAAGAAAATTATCCATTGGTTCTAATACACTGATCTGTATTGTGCATCAACTGCTTAAAAAGTGTGTAGGTAGATCATGCAAGCCCCACAGGAAGGCGGGAGGGGCAGCAGTAGAGGCTGGAATCCACACCTTCCATTTTGTCTCAGGTCGTTAAAAATCATTTCCTGTCAGGTGAATCTTTATATCTTGATTTAATGTATGTTTGTTTAAAAAAAAAAAAAGAACACTTTCTGGGGCTGGGGATGTGGCTCAAGCAGTAACGCGCTCACCTGGCATGCACAGGGTGCTGGGTTCGATCCTCAGCATCACATAAAAATAAAATAAAGATGTTGTGTCCACCAAAAACTGAAAAATAAATATTATTTTTTAAAAAAAACTCTTTCTGACATGCACTTCATCCCACAAAATAAAACAAGTTTTATTGTAAGTTTTGAGATTTACTTAGTCATGATTAGCTCAATCTGGACTTGCTTTAAATAGAACTATCATTGATTTTTTAAGCAACTTTTGAGGACTGTTTTTCTCTTTGCAGTTAATGCTGAAATATAAGGATAAGAAATGGTACCAATTCTGAACTCCTTAAGAAGAGCTGTGCCTGCTTTGAGAAACCATTATTCAGGGAAACCAAATTTATTCCCAGCATCACTATTCAACTGCTAGAAGCCAGTTTCTTCTATAAAATGTTCCATCACAATCCATCTGAAGTTATCATAAAGGAGAATTATCAAAGACGTTGTACAACCCAAAGGCTGGAACCCTGGTTAAAAATCCCAAGATAACGGCTGAATTTGTCTTTTCCCATGTGGAATGGAGCTATCATCTTAGCATGTAATTTGCTAAGGATTTACATTTAGGAACTGCAGGAAGTCCTTTTGATTTGAAAATTCCTGTACAAACAAAAGCATTAATGCACTTAATGAAAAAAATCTTTGCATGATAAATTAACATCTTAAGAGGAAAAGAAAAAAAGCATGTTGTGACAGAAGAAAAAAAGAATTATGGTAAACTATTTTTATAAATTGGGCCACACCCAACAATTTAAAAGTCTGCATTAGAAGACATTAATGCATTTCAAGTATATTTGCCATACCCAACTGAAAAGGAAAACAAAAGCCCAGAGTTCTCATCTGTAATTTTCATTTTACTAGGACATTATTGAATTCTATGACAGGTATCAGATTAACATTTTTCTCCCTCTTAGTATTTTACATCAATCACAATTATTAGTCATAATCAAGTATTATCAGTATAGTAAATTATTCCCAACACAATTATTTCCATTTCTGTCACCTTCAGAATGGGTTGTATTTTTAGTCATAAACCATATAGGGTTGGGTTTCCTTAAAGCATTTTTTTTCAGCCTGACTTGTACTCTGCAGGGGAGTTGATGACAGGTTTAGGGAATAGACTATGGGAACAATGCAGTTAGCTTTGAGAACTGATTTCACAAAGGGTAAAATCTCACACACTCCAATTTCAGTTTCTAAAGTGATATATTTTTAAAGCTCCATTTGTATCCTTGTCTGTCAGTTACACAGTATATTACTGTTCAAACCCAGTAGGGTCTACAATCCAAGGTGCTTTTGCAGCCTGACTTTCACAGACCAAGCTGGTCATTCTCATTAGTGTGATTCAGTAAAACCTCAGTTAATGTTTTGAGAAAGGGATTCTGATTAATTACATTTCTGGTTAATAAGGGCTTTCATTAGAAAATACTTTTTGGTTCAATATGATTAATGAAAATCTTTTTAAAATATAGTGATATTTTTGCAGTCTTGGCCTCAGTCATCATTATGAACAACAAAATACACATCAACAATCAACAATTTTGTCACTAATAAGGTCAACTAAGATAAGTTACCTGATTAAGCTAATAAATACCAGACACCTATTGGTTATTAAAAACTCTAAATGGAGCAAAGAATATACTTAACATAAAAGTTCTCAATCATGATTCAACAGAGAAGTACTAGAGATAAAACAAAATAAAGACACTAGCCATCACTAACATGATTCTGGAAGTCAAAAGTCATGGGAGTACACACACACACACACACACACACACACACACACACACTTACACTTTAGGACCCATCTTATAATTTATATTTTGTTCCTTCAAAAAGAATCTTTTTTAAAATATTATAGATTTGCTTGTTGGGTTTTTACTTATCAGTGTCTTACTGGATTTACATTTCTGTTTCTTAAGAATTTACCATTTTCCTGGAGTTCAGTATATTTTAAGCCAAAACTAGTATTTGTTTAGTTTTTTTGCTTAGAAGTGGTGCTTCCTTTAAAACATTCTCCATGGTTTTGAAAAGAGCAAAGATTATTGAAAGAGTCAGAAAATGTATACTAGGATAGCATTTCTCAGAATCCTTGAATTCTCCTGATTTCTTAAAAAAGCCTCTCCATTAATCTCTCAAACTCCTATAATAGCTGTAGGGTAACAAAACCTAGCTTGGAAATATAGATATAACACATAAAATGATGAAGTGAAAATATAAAGAAACTTGAGGTGAGGATCTGGAAAATATTGGTACCAAATTGCAACACACTGTATGTACTGTCAGTTTCAAATACTCAGTTTTCTGTTTTTTTTCTAGACAAGGACTTTATCATTTATACATTTTAAAAATAAAAGAGTGACATATTTATTTTAGGAATGAATAAAACACTAAGCAGCATTAAATTAAAGAATATCACTGAAATTCCCAGTAAGATCCAACTTGTTCTGTGCTGGGGCTATAGCTTAGAGGCAGAGCACTTTTTGACTATAAATAAGGGCCTCAGTTCAAACTCCAGCAAACTCTAGCGCGTGCACGCACGCGCGCGCGCGCACACACACACACACACACACACGATTTAACCTGTTATATATCCGAGTTTCTCAACAGCAGCACTATTAGCACAGAATTCTTTCTTTTGGGGGAAATGTCCTGTGTATTATAGGATGTTTGCAACACTGTTACCAGTAAGAACTCCTAGTAATGGCAATCAAAAATGTCTCCTGCCATTGCCAAAATTGCTCCAAGTTGAGAGCCACCATTATACATCATTTAAAGAAACAGATGGTGAAATATGTGATATATGTCTCATATAAAAATGAATTTCATAAGTACATATTGTCTTAGCAAGGTAAATTATTATACCCAAAATTACATATGTGGTTCATAAGCAATAAAATATAATTTTGAGGAACGCTTTATGAATCATTGAAAAAATATAGCATATTTTAAAGCACACTAAGAAAATATTCAAAAAGGACACTATAGCATTTCACAATAGAAGTGCTTAAAACACTAGCTTCATTAAATAGATCAAAAGTTTATATAATTAGCACATCCTTTGGAAGTAAACAGGTATTTCTATTTACTGAAGTGCTTAAAAAGACCAGATTCTTCTAAGTAGTTTACATGTCCTTACAAAATTGTTTTTATAAGCCCTTTCTTAATGCAAGGTAACTTTATCCCAGAAGCTCCTGACTAGTAGAATTCAAATTAATGAGGTTTTACTGTATCAAAATTATTTTGTAATTCAAAGAGACAGCAATAACAAGAATCTAGTGTGGATGTGATTTTTCTCTTTGAACATTTGTGTTCTGTTGCACTGACCTTGGCATACACACACACACACACACACACACACATACACACACACATACACACATGCGCGCACACGCACTCACCACCACCATCTCATCATTATCATCATCTTAGGAAAATGAGTACAGTTGATCCATGTAATTTTTTGCATCTTCTCTGCTTTCCTGTGTCTTGGAACTTAAGAAAAATATTCCTAGTAACTAATACAAAGATACAGAAGATGACCCTAAGCCTTGGTTACCATCAAAATTGAAAACTGCATTGTATCTGCTAAGGTAGCATCAGAAGATAAGACTAAACAAACTACAGTCTTGACAAGTTGACTTTACCTTCCTACGACTTCCTCAAGACATAAACCCTTTTTAGTGTTCTAGCAGAAAATGAGCCTTTCCATTCTATTTGTCAATGAGAAGATGGAAGTATTTGTTTCCCAGTTCTAAGAATAATGTGAGCAATAATCCCTACCGTACAAATTTTCCATTTTTCTTGCACTTTGGAGGGAGAATGAATGATTTATCATTTACTTTAATCCCCTTTAAAAACAGTACTGCTGACTTTGTTTCCTTCATTGAGCTCCAGACTTAGTGCTCCAGTCACCATCAGGGTCACTGTGGCTTTGGTAGGACAGTGACAGAGCTAAGCAAGATGTTTTCAAGTAATTCAGTCATAAAGACAATCTTTTTCAATCTATCGGAATTGATTCTCATTAAGTCAAATCCAGGCCACAAAATTTTTAAAGAATCAAAGGAAAAAAATTCCTTTTTATACAGTACATATATGCAGTTTTAAAGGTACCCATTATCTACATAACTCTGGGAGAGAAAAGAGTAAGAATAGATCTGAAATTAGTTGAAGAAGATTAAGGTAGGTTATTTAACATATTTGACCATAAAATGTTTGGACAGAGGAAAAAATGAAACTGGTTGGAAACGTAAATGAAAAATCATCTCTTTGGTTTAGGATTATTGGGTCGACCCAGAGTATATCTAAATGACCACAAGCTGTCCCATAGGAAAAAAGAATACTATGCCCTGAACACATTGATTCGGAGAAGACAATGCCCAAAGGAGTCAGCAGGTCATATCAGGTCTTGCTCTCTGCATTAGGAGAAATGTGATAGCCTTCACAGCTTCTTCACCTGTCTTCATCACCCAACTCCATTTTTAGATGGGTACTATTTCATGTGCACAGTGCTCTGAGTGTCACAAATAGTGGTCATGGGCTTAGATTGAGCACCATCTCTAACATGTACCATTCCAGAGGGCATCGTTGTCAACAGAATGAGTTAAGTGTGCATATTTGCAAACCACATAGCCCTGAGTGGAAGAAATTCAGGGTAAGTAAGGTCTAACTTGGAAAAGGAGGAGGAAGTGCTATTGTGGTGCATGAGTGTGTGGGGAGGGACATGGATCCTGAGGAAAGCGGGAGAGGCTTTGATGGGGAACAGAAGCACAGACAAATACTTTTATTTATATATTTATCTAGAGGAGGATCCTCAAACTTGGCTGTACATAATAATTACTTGATATTTTAAAATTCCCAATTATATCAAAATTGCTTGGAGTAGGAACCAGACATCAGTATTTTTGAAAGCACCCAGTGTGGTTCCAGTGTCCAGCCACAGTTGCTAACTACTAGATTATGACCAGCATTATGACCATCGAAGGAAGACATGTTTGTCTTCCTTTTCCAGTGTCCCAGCCTTCCAGTGTCTGGGAAAGCAGATGTAAGAGATACAATATTAACTGGATTGATACTTTTTCTGTGCCTCTCACAGAATAAAAGTATGTGTGAATTTCTGACTAGGCAGTGCCCCATTACCTCTTAATAATTCTATGATATTCTCATATGTGACTTGCCCATAAATTATTTCACTTCAAACATACCAAGTTTTTGATTGTCTTCTACATGTGACAAGATACCAGAAATATCACGGTAAATTAAACAGCATGTGAAGCTAAATGGAAAACTGATTCTCAATGTTTGGACAATAGAAGTTCTCAAAGTAATCATTACTAAATCGGGTCCAAATTTATTATTCATTCTTCTTTTGGAGGAGACATGGGTACCAGGTACCTGTTCTGCTATAGGTATATTTTATTGGACTTGATTTAAACAAAAAGGGAAAACAACTCTTCCTTCTTGATTGTTGTCTCAATCAAAAGCTCCCAGGGCCACTTAGATTTATTTTCTTGGTTATTATGTATTTAAATGGAAAAGAATGCCTGTAATTTACTATCTGACCTCCAGTGGCCTCAAAAGCACTTATACATTCAAAAAGGAGAGCCCAGCCTATCAAGGGCAGTAACACATAGTGAGAAAAAATTCCAAGTCATCTCCTCTAACACTGCTTCTCCTCTGGTTTGGGCCCACCCTTCTCACCTGCAAAGCCAGAAAATAAACTTGGTGGTGGTTTTGGACAATTGTACACAGGATCAAAATCTCTAATAACCTATAATTTTTAGTACTTAATTATGTGATGTTTTATTCTAGGAAATAAGAAACAGATGACACCATTGATGTATCTTTCATCTTCAGAATTTTTGCATCTTTTCAGAAAATGACAAATTACTATTTTTCTGTTGCACTCAGCAATTGTGACTATACTTAAAATTCTTGTAGTCTGTAGAGATATCAATAAAATTGTATATGTTTGTACATAGA